CGGCAATTGCCGGCTGCATTGAAATTGAATTTGAATTGAAGGCAGCTAGCGAAAAACAAAGCAGACCTCGTATAATTTTGTCAGACAAAGGTCCTTTGTAACCTTATGATTTTATTCGCTCACTTATTTTCGTTCTTGTGTCTGAGAAAATTGCATAAGTAGTTGGTAACATCTTATTAAGAAATACTTTTCCGCGGGCCATACTTTGAGGATGTTCGAATTTTGATCAAAGAAAGTTATTATGTTGACTGTGAAGTAAAAAACACATTTTGCTGTAAACGTTTATTAAATATTGGCTGAACTTGGTACACTCGTTTTTTTTATTAAAGCTTACATTTCTAATATATAATTCCTTTCATTTAATTGTTTAATAAAAATAATATTTTATACCAAAAGTATACCAAATCGTGTTGTTTATCTCTCCCACCTTTTAAGCTTTTCCTATCACTTATTTTTCCTTTTTGTTTGTCATTCTTTTCAATTAACAATCACCTCCATTTCCCCTGAAAAAGGTAAACAATTTGCGTTGCATTTTTTGTTTTTGTTTTCAGGTCAACATTTTTTAATGGCTCAGTAACAGGGGCTAACTTTCCTGATCCTCCACCCCGAACACCGATTTCAGTCGGGCTTCATCAACAGAATTTTGAAGGCCTGTGCCTTGTGGACTCAGTGTTTCAGTGTGTGGGCCCCATTTAAAATCACTTTGCGGCTTCTCCCTCGCCTCGTGTTGTGCATAAATAAGCGGTATATGATGGGTGGAGGGTTAACCCCTGACCCCCCACTTCCCAAGGTGGCACCTTTGGCCCCTTCGAAGGACGCACTTGCATCCCGTCATTTGCTTATCCTTTTGGAGCGACTCTCCCAGTTGATTGATGGCAACTTTTGGCGCTTGCCAAAGACTAAGTGGCCTGATGTTTTCCTGCCCTGAATAACTTTATTGCCCTGGCTGGTGCTAAGTTATGACGTGTTAATAATGACGCATAAACACACCAAATTGTGGGCGTCACCTTGCTGAATTTAAATGACGGATACGATGATGGTCGAAAGTTGAATCATTAGGATGAGCCAGCGGCTATGTGGTTGAGTGATGGCAAATGGCGGACTTCTTGTTAATTGAGTCTTAATAGGAAGGAGAAAACCAAAATACCCACAAATTAAAGGGATACCTAAGAAATTTAAGATTGGTTTATAGATCATAATATCTAATAGATTTTTAAACTTTTTTTTCCATCTACTCCAATTTAATAAATAAATAATTTAAAATTAATTACTTACAATTATAATACTTTTCTTTGGAATAAAATAAAGGTAACTTTTATAGAGATACATAAATTATACAAAATTTATGATGATAATATTTGTTAGTGTCATATCAGTGGATTTCGATGTGCGCTGATTTTTACTTTTGACTTGACTAGCTTTATATATCTAGACAAGTTTGGTAATCATTAAGATAATTTCCGAAGAATTCTTTAGCTGAGTTATGACTTAGGTTCAAAGTGAAAAACCAATTTCCATAATAATTTTCCCATTGTAGGTTCTTGAACTTATTGCTAAGTAAATTCCTCAGCCGAAGCTCACATGGAAAGAATTCCAACTAGCCGGTCCACGCCCACCGGTTCGTCCCCCTTTTCAGGCGGCCTGTACAGTGAAGATCAGCGATGCATTTCCCACTGATCGGCGATCACTAGAGTGAGGCTCTCGTGCCGTTGGAGGCTATCAAAATATTTTAATCGCGGATTTTCGTGGTCGCCGGTTCATTGAGGCTGCCAAGAAGTTGTGAAGATTTATGAACATAATAATTACAAATTTGCTAATTGATTTATTGTCGAGTGTATATAAACACCTTTCGCTTAATTTATGCCGCTGCCGTCTGATCGTAGTTGCATTTTGTGCTTCTTTTGTATATTCTTTAAATACCAGTTTGGAGTCAAAGAATTTATGCACTGGAGGGGCAGGGCGGAGCAACCTGTGAGCCAAAGCAATCAGGCCGAGAATCGAACATCGAACATTGGGCGCGCTTTTTGGGATGGGATGATGTACGATGAATGTCCTGCCACAGTCGCATATAGGGATGGTATATGTGCGTATACCCATACCCATATACTGAGGCTCAAACCGTTCATTATAAAGGAGTCAGGTCGTCAGGTGAGCTGAGCGAGAGAGACCGACAACCGCAGGCAATCACTGGCAACAGGCAACGCAAATTAATTATTAATCAACGGAGCGAACCGATCCCGAGCTCTGAGGAAGAAGCCTCTGAAGGAGGTGGAGACCACCGCCTCTTCCCCTTTACCGTGCCCCTTTTTTCGATGGATCTGCGATCCTCGAGCCGAGAGAGTGATTTATGCTCGCCAGTCCCCGCTCACAGACCTAACGAATCTCAGGCCCTGGCCCAAACCTAAACCAAAACCCATACCAAAACCCATGCCCAAAACCCAAGCCCAACTGACAATGTTCCTGCCAAGATGGACGATGCCGATGATGACGACGGCGATGGAGTTGAAGACTGAGGCCAAGACCAAGACGAAGACGAAGACGAAGGCCAATGCAATCAAGTCCGGCCAACACTCAGCAGAGAACCGCATATAAGGTCAGGCACTCAAGGAAAAAAGTTGGAACTTGCTATTAAACTAATCGATTGTTGGCTTATATTCTTTGATTAGTTTAAGAGGAGATAATATCTTAAAATACCATTTATTTCAGATTAAATAATTTAGTTGTAATTATAGCTCTAACCATCCATTTATAAAAACACTATTTACTTACTGAAGTAACATTTTTATTCTTTGGCATTAGAATAGAAAAGGAATTGAGTAAAGTCTAAAGGGTGTACCATGATGTTTTCAGTGAGCCGATTTACATTGAGATACGACGTCTAAACATAGAATAGAATATTACCTAATATTATGTATTATTATATAATATTATATATTATGTTACCGATAAAGAATGGTTCAAACAATTTTTTTGTCAAATATGTACATATAAAGATGTATGAGGAGATCTTTTTAAAATCTTAAAATTTTAAAATCTTTATAACTTTTATAATTGATGAAATTAACAGTTTCCAAATAATATTGGTAAACACAACCCAAGATTCAAATTCGAATAGTTCTCAAAAAATATTTGGAGAAAATGTAATTGACATGGTTTTCGACATAAAGTGCAGTTAATAATTCTAAGTTTATTCCGGCAACTATAACCAAAAGCAGATACTAACATTTTTCGTTGGCTATCAGCCCGCTGCAGGGCTTCCAGCGATAAGTCCGCCGCTCTTTGGAGCCTTTTGGTTCCACCCATATCAGTCAGCCCCCAAGTACGTCAGTCAGTCAGCGAATGCGAGCGAATGAATGTTGTCCGTTTGTCCGGGAGTCCGTATGTCCGTCCGTCCAATGCACATGCAATGGCCATGGTATCGCCTCCTGGGATTCTCAATTCTCGGCGGGACGGAATCGGCATGCGATACCCGAGAGATGGAAGGATGGGGATGGGGATGGGGATTGGGATGGGGGAGCCTCAAGTACAGACACCGGGCGAATCAGAAATGCCAGAATTGAAATCGCATTTTAAATCATCTCTCGGTGGAGCTGCTCCCTCCTTCGACTCCTCGTCCACATGATTCACAGTCACAATCGCCTCAAATCTCGAATAACAAATCGCATAATTACGGGGCAGCGGCTGTCCATTGCCTGCTGTCTTCCTCTCGCTCTCGCCACCAGTAGTCTGTCCCGCTCTAGTCTTCTGCCTGGCAGCCAAAAGAAGAAGAAGACGAAGGAGCAGAAGACTCTCGAGATGGCGATGCAGTGGAGATATGAAATATTTTAGCTAAATGGCAGCCAAAGAAATAAAAATGTGGGATTGAAGCGTATAAATCAGCGGGCATTCGCTCCCTCTCCCTCTGCAGACCTCTCCCTTTCTCTTTCGCTCCACTGGAAGATTCATTATTATGTGGATGTGTGTATGTGTATGGTGTGTATGTGAAGCATAAAATCAACCTGAGGCGATAAATTGAAACGATTTTTGCACTGAACACGCAATTAGTTCTCCTCTAGTGCCCATCTTGCCCCCTCTTCTTAAATTCTCCTCGGGAGATTGAAAGAAGAATCTGAAGTAAAAATGATTCCAATGACAACTGAGAAATTGTTTTGATTTCGCTGTACAAAATGAGTGGTTCTGATTCAGCGCCTGTCCCCTTTAAGATCCACCACTGATGGCTAATGGTAATGACACAGGAAATGTGTGGAATCCAATCGGGATTATGCCCCTGGGATCATGTCCAAAGATAGTTACCTACGTAGATTGAAATTATGTCCGATTAATTTACCGATAATTACAGATGTTCGTTAACCAGTTTGAAAGCCTTTCTGACTACAAAAGGTATGCTGGTAAATTTGTAAGTAAGAAGTAAAAAAAAACGAAGTCACAAATTAAATTATATAGGTATTTAGAAAAGTATTACTTTTGAAAACCACTCCTATTGGTTTAAATAATGGCAATTTGAGCATATTGACCAACATTTTGTTTAGAGATTTCCTTATATGCTTTGAAACTCAGCTAAATATTCCGAACGACAATTAGTGTTACTTTTATCCCTATCCTTACCATCCTTATCAAAACCATATTTTTTTAATAGCTTCGATTTTAAATAATTTACATGATAATATGTAATATTATTCATGCCATTTAACATTTAGTTATAACATTTACAATTCTTAACTACTTAACAAACTTGGCAAGCGTATATAGTTAATTGTTGTCTTTTTTTAAAACAAGATGTTATTTTCATTTTACTATTTTGGATTGATATTTTTAAAGAACTCCAAGTTTAAGTGAGAAATGTCTCAAATAAGAACTGAGGAAAGACTCAGAAATTCGAGCATCGCTCTCTCATTCGCACAATCGAATTCGAATTTCGAAGTTGTGTGAGAGAAGCAGCACGTTGTGTTCGCGGTACGGTTGCTGGTGAAAAGTGCGCTGTGAATTAATAAATATTATTAAATGTGATATTGTTTAATTTAAATGTAATCAAAAGTTAAAAATTGCCGGGAAATCAAAAGTGCAGGCTGTGCTTTACACAAAAGAAGAATCGTTGCTTGAGACCCACGTTGCAATTTGCAATTGCCTTTACAGGTAAGCAATTTAAACCTCTTAAGTGCAGAATCATCTCTGTATAACTGTTTATTACTCTACATTATAAGTTAAATACTATTATAGTTGTCAATGTACATTGTTTGGTAACTCCAATTATCCTCATTTAGTTGTTTAATTTAAGTTTGTTTATAAGTTTGCTTGCACGCTGTCAGAAATCAGCTGTTTTGATTGTTGCCGTAGCCAGGGGCGTAGACTCAAAGGGGTTCAGAGGACCACTACTGAAAACTCTTTATTTAACTTATTAAAATATAGAATACAACATTGTGTAATATAAAAAACTATTAATTATTGTTAATTATTTAATTTGATGTATTTATGTAAATTCTCGCGTTAAGGGCGAAATTTAACAGCCATACTCGACAACGCCCCTGCCCTTGTCTTCGAAATTCGAGAACTAAAGAGAGAGCGAGAGAGCCCAGACCGGTTTACGCTCTCGAGCGTTTGAGTGACTTCGAAAGAGGGTTGAGCAAATTCGAAACTTATGAGACCATAAAGATAAGACCGTTAAATATTTGAAATGCGAGTAATTCTTTTATGAGATTAAAATACGGTTTTTTAAATATTTGGAAAATTCTTGTTTTTATATTTGATGTTAAATTTTATTTGAAGACAATTCGTTACAAAAAACAGAAAATTAGTAAAAATTATTTAGTATGTCTGTCCACATTTGTAAAGTGTACACATTTTAGATTAATATACATACATAGCTTTGTTAATTTCCTTTTTTTTTGTATCCAAAATTTAATAATTTTCTTTCATTTTATTTATTATGTTATGTTGGTAGAAACGTTTTAAAAGTGCCCAAGTACCTAATTTAAAATTTTATTATATTTATTTAGTTAGTCTTAATATAATTGTTATTAATGCTACATGTCTCTTCTAAAATTATTTTAAGAAAAACCAAATATGTGTTCTTGAAGTCTTAAAGTATATTTACTGATTTCTGCATTTTTTACAATTTATTTTACTTTCAAGTTCTGCTGAAATTTTTTTTTTTTCTTTTTGTTCTTTGTATTCTAAATTTTTTTCCGAATTTTCCATGGTTTATTTTGGGGAGGAGCACAAATTCTTTTAACCTTCAGCGCAGAACAGATCTGAGAACCACAGTGAGAAACAGAGAACAAACAGCCATTCTTGTCTCGCTCGCTCCACGGACTCCACCCGAGTGTCAATCAATCACCTGTCAGATTGGCCACGCTCACTGGCCATCGGGTTGCACAGACATCGGGTGAATACCCACTCACATGGGAAAGATTCTTGCCAGCATCGGAAAGATACATACGAACTCGCGGAACAACCATGGCTGGGGATTGTTTGTTAGAAATGGTGGTCTTTGATTTGATTGGATTGGACGAGATGGCCGTGACTTGTTATACCCGTTACTCGTAGAGTAAAAGGGTATACTAGATTCGTCGGAAAGTATGTAACAGGCAGAAGGAAGCGTTTCCGACCCCATAAAGTATATATATTCTTGATCAGGATCACTAGCCGAGTCGATCTAGCCATGTCCGTCTGTCTGTCTGTCCGTCTGTCCGTCTGTCCGGATGAACGCTGAGATCTCGGAAACTATGAGAGCTAGGCTATTGAGATTTGGCGTGCAGATTCCTGAGCTTCTTACGCAGCGCAAGTTTGTTTCAGTAGACTGCCACGCCCACTCTAACGCCCACAAGCCGCCCAAAACTGTGGCTCCTACAGTTTTGATGCTAGATAGAAAATTTTAACTGAAATGTAATGTTCTCATCAATACCTATCGATTGACCCAAAAAAAGTTTGCCACGCCCACTTTAACGCCCACAAACCGCAAAAACCTGTGACGCCCACAATTTTCATGCTAGATAAAAAATTTTAACTGAAATGTATTGGTCTCGTCGATACCTATCGATTGATCCAAAAAAAACGCCCACTCTAACGCCCATAACGCTTAAATCTGTATACCGCCGGTAGGTGGCGCATTTTAATCTCGCTTTGCTGCTTGCATATCTCCATTTAGCTGAGTAACGGGTATCTGATAGTCGAGGTACTCGACTATAGCGTTCTCCCTTGTTTTTTTTGTAAAGTTAAAAAATGTAGTGAGAAGAGCGTTGACCGGTGCTCTTGAAACTGAACATTTTCTAGAATTCCTGTAAAATTGTCACAAACAAGTAGAGACCTATATCAAAAAAAGCATTTCTTTAAATATTAAATAAGAGCTAATATAAATCTGATTCTAGGCAAATAGTATCAACATTTTACTCCAGTATTAAATAAAAGCTAATATGAATGTGATTTTAGAAAAAAAGTATCAGCTTTTTTCGAGAATTATATATTCCAAATTCCAATTCCAAAAAATCACAAAATAATTACTATTCTTAAGCTGTATGATTTTTTCCTCAAAAATTATCTTAACTTTTTCAGAAGTAATCATTATTTGTATTTTAAATATATTCTTTATGTATTAAAAAAAAGGTAACATAAACCTTATTCTAGAAAAAAGAATCTGTTTTTTTCGAAAATTATATATTTTTTAAACTATTTTAAAGGGACCGTAATCATTGTAACCACTATTTTTAAGTTGTATGATTTTTTCCTCAAAAATAATCATTACTAAGACTCAAAGTCTTATAAATATTTTTCATAAATAATAATTATTTGTAAGCGAAAAAAAGTATCGCTCAGAAATAATTATTATTTATCTCGTTATTTATTTTATTCTTTATTTGCTGCTTAATTTGGTACAATAAATTAAGCCAGTTTTTATTATTTGGTTAATATTACTCTTTTTGATTTTCAACCTTTGTTAACAGTACAATGGTCAAGGTCCTCTGTATATTAATGTAGATAAACAGTTTTAAAATTTGTTGTTCACTTCATTGTTAACTGTTGCTAAATCTCAAGATGTTTTCTTCTATATAGTACTTTTCTATCTATCAGTACGTTTCTTCCCTCATTTCCACGTGTCGCTCGCCGTCAAAGGACTTTTCTGTTACAACGCTTTTGTTTGGCATTTCCTTTAGGCTCTTTTCTGTTTTCAAAATTTATCGAATGCCCAGGACAATGGCAATAGGAAAAGCGCAAAGCGGGCAATGAAACAGAAGTGAAACACAAATAAATAAGGATAATAGCAGAGGGCTACAAAGAAGAAGAAACCGACAAATGCCTACGAAAAGGGGTGGTGGTGGTGGGTTTTTTGGATGGCTGGATTGGTGGGTGGTTGGGGGCGCCACACGAAAGGCAATTAAAAAATATTTAAACTGCCAACTGGCAAGGGTCCTTTGGACCCGGTTCTGACTGACTGACTGGACTGACGCCTTCGAGGCAAAGTTGCTGCCCCCCAAAAAGGGGGCGGGGCTGTTAAAAGCGTGGGGCTAAGAGAAATTTATGCATACTTTCCTCGCCTTTACTTGGCTGCCTGGCTTTTGTTTTTCCTTTTTAAGTATTCCTTTTTTTTTCTCCCCCTACTGTTGTTTTCCCCCACCCCATTTTCACCCACATTTCTCTTCACCATCCGTAGCAAAATCAGTTTGAGTTGTGTGATTGTGTACGTGAGCATAACGGTTAAAATGGCCAAGGACTTAGAGGGGGGTTGGATTGCACCCCCAATGGCCACCCCCTGTCAGAATTGATTGATTGAATTGCCACTTTATGAAATTTGTGAGTCTTCGGAGATGTGCGTGGAAATTCGTGTTCTCGTCTTCGTCCTCGCTTTTCCTCTTTCCATTTTCCTCTGGGGGTGGCTCTGCCCAGTGGGTGAATGGGTGGTTGGGTGGTTTCTGGCCGTGGATTGTTCGGCTCTCCGAGGGTTGCTCCTGCTGATTTGTGTTTGTGTGCGCTTTGGCTAACAATTTGCAGCATAAAATACATAAAATTATGTGCAGCGCTGAGGCGGCCATTAAACTTGATAGATTTATGACAGACAGCAGCCAAAGCGGTATCCAAAAACAAAGCGAAAGCGTTTGGACGGGGGTCGTTTTGTGGACAGGGGGGGTTTGGACTCTTGGGGCCCAACCCCCGTAAAGATATAGCTGATTAAAATTGCAAAATTGTCCAAATGAGATTTGACGGGTAGTGGAGAGGGAGAAGTTCTGGCAAATGTCAACGATCTGACTTGAAGTGTGGGTGGAACTTGGGGACTCTTAATAATTCTTAGGGGAGAGAAACTTGCTTAGAATTGTTATTAAAATATTTTTAGTGAACTGTCTGTTTATGATTTAATAATAACAATAAATTAAAGTTTTTAAATTAAAAATATATTATCTTGCTCGAGGATTTTTTAAAACCATTTCATAAAACAACATGACCCCAATTTTAAACTTTTTCCAGTGAAGAATAGTATCCACTTACTTTAAAAATATAATATTTTATTATTATTTAGATGAGAAAATATGGTTTAATTTAGAACTATATCAGAACATTATTTTTGCTTCAGCTTAAGCTTTTAAGGCCCAAAGCTTCCTTTTTCTTTGCTTTTGAGATCCTTTCATAGCTATTCCGAAATTATTTTAATACAAAACCAATAAAGTTTAATCTCTTTTTCGGGAACCCTTAAGGTCCCAAAGACTCCCACCACTTACTCTTACAAAATCGTAATGAAAAAGGATCCAATTTGAATGCAAAACAGAATGGAATAGAAGGCTTATTAGAATAGATTGCAGAAATTAAGAGCCGGACAAGGTAAATGAGCCCATCCAGGCAGCGAATTGAATTGAGGTGGGCAAATATATATATATATCTAGAACCCACTTCACTGGCCCTCCGAAAACTGGCAATTACAAAATGATTGAATGGTAATTTCAGCGAGAAAAGTTGGCTTCTGCCTTTTGTATTTCGGGTCTATGCGGTTCCTTGGGTGCGTTTGTATGTGACTGGCATAAATTCCCATTATTTATGGGGGGCTGTAACTGTTTGTGATATTTTATTTCGCGCAAGGATAGCGCAGGATAATTTGCGCACCCAAAACAAACAGAACCAAAAACAAAAAAAAAAAGCCGAAACTTAACAAA